GACACACCTGTGGCTGGGTCCCTGGGGTAGGCCTCCTGGCTCTCTGCACCACAACACACCATGTATTAAGAAATGGTTCGTATTAACTACCTAAACACTAAGAGATTCTAAAACACGTGGGATGAAACTTGATTTATTTGGCACGCGATTAAATACATCATAACAATATTATACAGATAAATAAACTAATATTAAATACATCAACAGAAGGTAGCAGGAAGTCAATACTGAGTATAGATTCAATAATAATAATTTCCTGAGGGAGTCTTCCCAAGGGATCAATAAAGTACTGTCTAAGTCTAAGTCTAAGATGAATATACAAGAAAAAACTAATTATCAAATGCAGCTAACCAGCAAGCTACTGGCCTTGTGTGGTTCATGGTGTCACTTTAAACTACTTAGATGTTAAGTGCAACCAGGAATTCACTGCAGTCTAGAACTGGAAATTCAACCCCACCAAACACAAACACACACCATCCAATGACGACAAAAGTCCTAAGAATAATTCCAAAATGGTGCCCCCCCTTACCACCAACAAGTCAGTTAGTCAATAATGTAAAAGTAAGTGTAGCTGATGAAGAATTCTCATGCGTGATTCAATTTCAGTAATTAAAAGTGTCCAATTTCACATCCCCAACACAGTTTTAGTGATTTAAGTGGTTAAAAAAATACATACATACATACATACATACATACATACATACATACATACATACATACATACATACATACATACATACATACATACATACATACATACATACATACATACATACATACATACATACATACATACATACAACTTGTAACTTGATCTGCGCTCACAGCTGCATAATAATGCATATTCAGGTTAGATACTGCAATAAAAAAAGGACTGAACACAATGTACTTTGATATAATGTCACAACTACAACTCTACTCTGCAGAAACATGCTGACACAGCACTTCAAAACAGAAGTCCTGTTTAATGCTAATGACTAAAAACCCCCAAAAATCATCGTACTCTACTTCAATTTGACTGGCAACAGGCAAGCACTGAGTAAAAAAGAGCACATGATCTAAAGATGGAGAGGGGATGCACTCAGGTGACTCCAAAGTAAACATTTCAGGAATGTTCATGTCAAACTGAAAAGCATCTTTTGTGGTGCATAAAGTTGAAATGAGACAGAGAATCCAGAGCAAAGCTGGCAACCAATACTGGCCCTCAGGCTGCACCGCATGAAAAGTGGATGCGATTCTGTAGTCAAATCACCAAACGGGCTCAGTAAACACTTCTGAAATCTGCTGTCAGAGACCGTAGTTTGTTGCTTTTTTTGTTCATCAAAATCAGTCAACTTGAGTCCATTTAGTTTGACTCTGTTTCGACTTAACTCAAAGCGGTTTTTAAATGGAAGCCATTTTTGGGGAGGATTTTAGAAATGAATATGCTGCGTTTTTGTCGCCTTTCATACAACTAAGCTGAAGGCCACACTACAATTTTAAGTGCTATAAAATCTTTGACTCTGCAGTTAGTTAATGTCGGTGAAAAAATGGATTAATCTTGAGTCATTGAATAATAACTATTCTATAAATTCTAAATAACATAAAGCCCAGCAATATAAGCAAATATGCCCTCAGGATGTAGACAAAAACTCACACCAAAGACACCACTTTAATAGTGATGAAAGAACTGCTGTGAGTGGACCAAATACCTATTTTAAACAGAAAAATCTCAAAGAGGCTTGATCTAAGGCTCTGCTCAATCCTTGTGTTTATATTCATACTCACCAATCAAGAACATTTCTCATTTCCTTCTGTTTACATTAAGTTTTGGTTCTGTATATTTGTTGCGCCCTCTGCTCCGGTAACTTGGGAGAGGTACGTGGTTACTTTTGATTTTAAATGAATAACGGAGATGCTCTCGACGTCTTTACTCACTTAAACTTTATTCAAAAGAACAACAAACATTTTCTGCGCAGGCGCAAAACACAGTTCTCTGCTGGGCAGAAACAATCGATCAACGAATCATCGAACTCGATCGAAATTATAAATAGCGTACCTAATATTATTACTTTCAGTACTTTACTATCATTACTCTTAACCAATAATGCCAAAATGATAATTATTAAATATGAATTAATGAAGTAATGTCATAAACATCTACACGTAGACGCCGCGTTGAGACATTGGCCAGACTGAAAAATCAGGCTATAGAAACGTATATGCAAACATTATATTGGCGACATGCAGCGATACGCCGACAGACACCAACTGCCCGTATTTCAACAGAAAATGTGCAATATTAGCGATTTTGACAATTAAAATTATCGCAATTAGTCATACATAAAGATCGGTGGACAAATAATAATATGTCATCGTATGTTTTGTCTTGTGAGGATGACCGCACGTCCCATAAATATATATACACACAGCTATATAATTGCAGTCTCTGTGGCTGTGCAAGGTGAAAACCTTGGAAAAGAATAACTTTTCTCAGATTATTACGTACGTTGGCCCTCGGCATCCCCTATCGGACCCCGGCACCGGTATCCCGGTAGCTCCGTGCCCCCCCCCCTAAATCTTTAAGATATTTGGTTGAATCTGCTTTAGTTTAGATTCTCATTGGTTTGTTTTTAGTCATGTGACTTCTTTTTAGTCATGTGACAAAAACAAGGAAGTGGGCGGGCTACCGGGCTACCGCGCTACCGCGGTAAAATACGAAAAACGGAAAACCGGGAATACCGGGAAAACCGGGGAATATCGGGGAAAACGGCCACCGGGGGAGGGTGGCTGGGCCTCCCCGGAGGGGAGTCCCAGACACCCGACCCCGGGTCGATAGTAACCCCGTAGTAGACCCGCACCGAACCCCGGTATCGCGGGAGCCCTAGGACGAAGTAGCCCCGGTAGCCCCCCCTCCGGCCCCCGGTAGCCCGGTTGCCCGGTAGTGCGGTAGCCCGGTAGCCCCCTCTCCGGCTCCTTACCTTGTTAGTCCGTTGCAGTGAGAGTCCGCCATCTTGCCATTTGAGCAAATTTAAATCACTCTGGAATTTGTAAAAAAAAAAAAATCAGGGGTTTTCAAAACATTTAGGGAAACTCCAGATGGGAAAACAAGTAAAAGTTGCAAAATGACATTTAGTCTGTCAAATTTTCATTTTAATCTGTAAACAAGGAAAAAAGTACAAGTATCTTATAACTGTACTTATAATATAGAATGAATATGACTGTTTTAAAAATACAAAGTAAAATTTAGGGGGACATTATCGCTTTAGGAATGCTTTTATTGTTGAATATGTTTCTGTCCTTGTACAAACATTTAAAATCTCAGCACTTTGAGTCAGACTCTGTCTGACTCAGAGTGCTTGTCAGGGGTTTTTCTCAAATACAACATTCAGCACAAATATTAACAATTGTAAACATAAAACAACTCCACATTACATTGCACTAATTAGATATTACAAAGCTTGCCACTGCTTTTCTGGCTGATGCTGAGCCCAGTTCTGTTCTCTACTTTTGCTTTCAGCATATTAATCAGCGCACACACTAACCAGTAGGATGACTAAACATTTAGGTATGGTCATTTTCATGGGACAGAAAGATGTTTGGAATTATTTATTGTGTGCAAAAGTTTCTAAAAAAGCCTTTAAGAGAATGTTTTCCTGGTACAGCTATTGAAGGCTCAAGAGTAGCAAAGAACAATGAAACCCATACAACTTAAATCAATGTTAAACCTTTTCTAATGAATATAAAGAGAGAGAAATATATATCTAAATAATTTGTGCTAAAGACATCAAGTTATCCCAATACACATTGCTGGAGATGGCATTGATTCACATTTCATTTGGAATTCTTCCAGGCATCCCGCATTGATTTTTCACCAGTTGGTGAGATATGAAATGTGCCATTTTACATGATCACGTCTCTGCTTCTTCCACACTGTTGTTCACGTGGCATGCAGGTGTTCCTGCCTCACACACATTCACACGGAAAAATATGTGAACACAGACATTCAGAGCTTCTGATAATGACATGTGCCGACAAGAGAGGCAAGACATAGGTTTTTCCAATACTAGGTCCTCCGCCAGACCCCTCACAGATAGGCACTCATCCTTATCTGTCCTGTTTCATAAACCTTTGAGAGGAATTTTAGCGTGACAAGCCGATGACAAGTGCGAGGACAGGGTTAAAGTGCTACACTCTCCTCTCAATGAACAGCTGCCGTTGAAATCCCAAGAGGAAGGCATTTCAGTTTAAACTGCTGGAAAACGCCATTCACTGGTCAACAGTGGTGAGCTGTGATTGCACTAAGCAGCTTCCAGGTGTGAAGGCATGGCAGCACAGTTGCAAACAGCGTGCACTGGAGCTCTGAGGAGGCTTCTTTGACAAAGAAAAAGAGAATAACACAAGAAAAGGAGTACAACAAACAGCAGCTGTCTACATTCAGTTGAAGCAATGATCTCACGCACTAAGTGCTCACAGTTGAGATGGGGGCATATAAGAACGTACAGATTGGCTGACACAAGACGTGAACTGGAGGAGGGGAGAGAAAAAGGGGTCTGGCTGTGGCCTTTTAACTCAGCCAAAAGGATTTGCCTCCTCCTCTCCAAGACTCCTCAATCTTTATGGCTTTTTTTTCCCTCTGTTTTTTTTTTTTTTTTTTTT